GCAATCTGCATTTGGGGTAAAAACTGGGAGTTCATAACCCACTTCAATCTAATGTATGAAATATGATATGTCAAGAGCTTTGTAATGTTGTGAACAACCAATAAAAAAGAATATCTATAGAATCTGCAGTATAAACACCCTACCTTTAATCCCAAACAGCACAAAAGAATAAGATAATAAAGCCAAAGGTTGTACTCAGTCTGGAATTCACAAGATTAAATTATTTTTCATGTATTCACATTGTATTTTCTGCATTTTAACATCTTCAAAATATTTTTTTCACAATAAATTACATTATAGATCATTCCATTCTAAGACAAAAATATTTATCCCATCATTTGTAGTGGCTTCCATAGTTAAGGCTTAATAACTATATTTTGGCTTAAAAACTAAAAGCTTTATGTAATTCAATGATTTAAGATACATAAAAATGTGCTTTTAAAAAATATTTTTATGTATTTATTTATTTATATGTGGTGCTGAGGAAATGTGCTGACTGGTTTTAAACTAGAATCTAAATCCATTTATCATCTATTTCTCTGATAGATTTTTTAAAATAAAAATGTTTTGTAATATATATATATATATATATATATATATATATATATACAGAGAGAGAAAGATTATCCTTATATAATTTTCAAAACTATGACTATTTTAATATTGAAGTTCAGATATATGCTAAAGCAACTTTATTTTCCTCACAAAAAACATATTTTTATCATTTTTAAAAATATTTATTCTTATTGACATCTCTAGCAATGTATTACATGATTTCTATCTTTTAATGGTATTATGTTAAAGGATATTTTAGTCAAGTTTGAAAATTGCAAAATGATTGTTTTCAAGAATTAATTCAATTTTCTATTTTCCTCTTTAATACTAAGTAAAAACTATTATAATTTTGTTTTATTTATATAGCTTAATTTTTCAAGTCATTCTATTATTCTTTCTTCTATTTACATAACAAATTAAACTATGAGAGACATATATATCAAATGTATACAAACCTAGTGACTGTTTTATTATTATTTATTTATTTTGGTATTGGGGATTTAACTTGGGGGCACCCAGCAATTGAACCACCCCTATTTTGTATTTAATTTAGAGACAGGTTCTCACTGAGTTTCTTAGCACCTTGCTGTTGCTGATACTGACTTTGAACTCTTGATCCTCCTAAGCCTCTGGAAATATGGGCTTGAGTCACAGATCTGAGCTTTTTTCTTTTTACTTTTTATTTGGTAGGTTTATAGACAATTGTTAATAGGGTCTAGAGTGGTTCTGTGTACATAATACACAGCTCCCCCCTCAAGGATTGCATTTTATATAATCCAATTTATGGGAAAATAAGAAAGTTTCAATGCATGTGAATTACCTATTTTATCCATACATAACTTCAAGTAACTGTCACTCCAATCAAGATACAAAACCAGAAAGAAATTGGGGAATGAGAATGATCAAATTATGTTATGTTCATGTACAACAATGGTATAATGAGCTAATGAGTTCCACCATTACACATAATTGTAATACACAAATAATTTAAAAAAAAAGATATAGAACCGGGTGTGGGGGCATAGTCCTGTATTTCCAGTACCTCAAAAGGCTACGGCAGGAGTAAAGTAAGTTCAAAGCCAGCCTCAGCTACTTAGAAAAACACAAAGCAATTTAGTGAGACCCTGTCTCAAAATAAAATATAAAAAGTGGCTCAGTGGTTACCTATGATTTAATTCCCTGTAGCCAAAAACAAAACAAAACAAAATTCAAGGAATAGAACAGTCATAGATTAAGTATTTCAACTTCTCAATTTCTATTATCACATTATTAGAGCTTATCTACATTATGGAACTGCCTTTAAGCAACAAATAATTCAACTTACCTCTACTCAAAGGCCATTCTCTTATGGTGAAAGTGATATACAACTGAAGAATTAATTGTGGAACAGAACCAAGAAAGGCTTGGATCACTGACATGCACTTGAAAGCCTTGCACTGCATAAAAATTCCATGGATTGAGAGAACAATCTCCCTTTTCAATATCATATGTCGTCTGCTCATACTAACTTGAGTCTCTTTCTTCTGTTGTTCAAGCTTTTTCAGCAATTTATGGTAATTTATAATGACATACAAACACCTGTTAAAATGAAGTAACATGTAGGATTAACATTCTTGGTGACAGATGTGTTGAAATATTTAGTAAATTATTAAATAAATTTCCAATTCTTATAGAAAAGAATCTTATGGAAAGATTAACAAGCTATATAATATACAATTCAATTTGTCTCTTCCAAGTTACTTACTATTTTCACCTTGACACATAATATCCCCATCTTGATCCATGTGTTTCTATCCTCATATAAATGTTTTTATAAAAAGAAAAATAAAGAAATGCTTTCTATGTTACTGAAAATCTTTTGTAAATATTAATGGTTTTAGATGTTTTTTCCATGATATAAAACTATTTCAGTTCTGTTTCAAAGTACTCAAATTTATCATTGTAATAGTTTTATTATTTTTATTAATATGTTATCTAATACCTTTTAACACTATAGTCATATATTTTTGAATCAAAATTTTAAACTTTAATTAGTAAAGAAAATGACAGAAACAAATGAAAAATATAAAAGACCTTGCAGTAGAATTTAACTTCAAAATAATTAAGCAATTTTTGTAATTCAAATTCTATTAAAAAGTCACAAAAATACCATGTTTGAATAAGAAAATTAACTAACCTCAAAACATTTCAGATATAATACTTATAAGACAGAAATAAAAACAATATTTTTAAAAATAAAAGTTTCACAATTATAAAACAGAAAACATCTCAACATTGAACAAATCTTATGAACAGAGAACTTGTACACAACAATAAATAATAGTTGAAACAAGATATAAATGTAGTTTAGAGAAAAAACAGTAGAAAATAGATGATTATACTTCATGTCTCACTTAGAAGTGACCATACTTCTAAATTAATTACAAAAAAATAGGAAATGACATTTAAAAAAATAGGAAATTTTCAGTTGTTAAAATCATAAATTCTCAGATACAAGTAGTCTTATGTATACCAAAAAGATATATAAAGACTAAATGAGTTACATAGTTATAATTCACATATATGAAAGGCTCATACACAGAAACAAATAAATCAGTGTATGACTTGGAGGTTGACTGCGCTAAGAGAAACAAGACTTCTTTTCCCAATAGTGCAAATGTTCTAAAAGTGATTGTCAAGATGGATTCACAAATCTGTAAATCTACCAAAAACACTGAATTTAAAATTTTAATGGGTGAAATGAATAGCATATAATTACAACTTAAATTATGTGAAACATTTTAAATCTTTTTTAAAATATATTGGTGTGATGCAACATAAAAGGGACCTAAGCATGGTAGGCAAGCACACTATCACAGAGCCATATCCCCAGTCCTGGTTTTGAGCTTTTATGATTTGTGAAGAAAATTAAGATATTTAACTTTATAACTAAGATAATGCATATAATTAGTCAGATAAAATATAAAAATTTTAGGGTAATTATATCTACTAATATAAAACATTAAATTCAAAACCAATGCAGTTTTTTTCTCTTTCAAAAAATAGTGATTAAATAAATTGTCAATTCAATTAATGTATGGAAGGGGCAATGAAGAATGAGAGGCTATTTCCTAAAATCTTAATAATCATAGAAAATGAAAATGTTTAAAATTCATTGTTAAGAGACATACCTGAAATATAAGAATTTTCAAAAGATGAAAATAAGACAAAAACTAAGAACTTAACTTACTTTTCTTGTTTTGTTCAAAATATTTAGTATAAAACTCTCAATAATTTTATATAAAATTAATATATAATTATACTTTTCAACAAAACATTAATAAGTTTGATAAAATGGTCATTTTGAAATACTTTCCTAATTTTGTTCATATGAAACATTTACAGTAGCAGTCCTCAAATCAGTGTATAAGATTTAATTTATAAGGCATAGTCTAAAATATATAAATTATTATTTTTAAAAGCAGTACTTTTTATAGTTCATTGGCATATTAATCTTGTTATCTAATTGTGGTGAGCCGCTTCTGCCGCTTTTGCAGACTATGGTTGCCATTACAAGATGGCGCTGGCTCCGCTGTGGTTTGTGACAAACAACTCCTAATTTGGGAGAGTTGGCACATGGTTTTTCAGCACCCTATGAGAAAGTTGCGTCGTGGCAGCTTCGCATTGGGGCTTGAGGTGCTTTATTAAGGCTGGGAGGGGCATCCGAGAGAGAGAAGAAAAAGTATCAAGGACCTGAATAAACTGCTGAGAGAAGATTCCTGAGTTGCGTCTTCCTTGCGGGCAAGGGGTCGCGACATCTAATGATGACTATTTTTTTTAATTTTTTATTTGTTTTAAATAGTTTTAATTAGTTACAGTACAATGACCTTGATATTTCATACATTTGAATCAGATGGGATATAATTTCTCCTTTTTCTGAGTATATGGTTGCAGAATCACATTGGTCATGCATTCACATATATGCACAGGGAGATAGCAAGGATAACCACTTTTTGAATGTACCAGAGACTCTGACAGTCTGTACACTTGTTTGTTTTCCTCATTTCATCACTTATTTTATCAAAAGTGCATTATTGCTAGCTTCAGTGGCACATCTGTAATTCCAGGAAGTAGGGAGGCTGAGGAAGTAGAATCCCAACCAAATTTAAAGCCAACCTCAGCAGTGTGGTAAAGCCATAAGCAACTTGCTAATATCCTGTCTCAAAAATTAAAAAATAAAAAGAGCTTGGTGTTTTGTTTTAGCATTAAAACACCTCTGGGATCAGTCTCCAGAACCAAAACAAACAAACAAAAACCCACAAAATCCCCAAAATCTACAAAGTAAACAAAATCTAGGAGACCTGAATAAGATATTTATTTAAAAAGTATATGTATACTAAGTGAAATAAGCCATGTACCGAATGATATATTGTGAATGTCCTCACTTATTTGTAGGAGCTAAAATATTGAAATCATAGAAGTAGGGAATAGAATAGTGCAAAAAAAAAAAGAAAATATAGAAGTGTTAGATATTGTGCACCAAAATAGAAAAAAATAGAACTGAAAGATCCCCCAAAATAGAAATGAAAAATGTTTAAGGAGATAGAAATTCTAATTACCCTGATTTCATCAATAGATACTGTATATATGTATTGAATCATCTATCACACTGTACTCATACAAATAATACATGGCACTAAAACAAAATGTCTAATATGAAAAATATATGCAAGAATGTGCAACTACTTTTTTTTTAATGTGAATTAAACCTGGGCATGGTGGCACATGTCTATACTCCCAGATACTGAGGCAGAAGCCACAGCAATTTAATGAAGGCTTAAGGAACTCATCAAGACCCCATCTTAAAATAAAAAATTCATCCCTGAATTCAGTCCCTAGTACTAAAACACACACACACACACACATACACACACACACACAAATTATAATTTAAACAAAATGCAACAATTTTCATCTATCCAGTTGAGGGGAAAAATCATAAGATGTTTATAAGTATATTAATTATAATATTCCTTTGAGGAAAACCTGGATGCATCTACCAAATTTTAAAATTTACTGCATATTTTTTCATAGATTCTTTTAAGATAGCAAAAAATATTAATTTGGGAAAAACATTAAGTAAATTATTGTTTAATCATATGTTGATTTATTATGAAACTCCTACAACAATAAGTGCATAAATATTTTTTTAAAAATAACTAGTATTAAGAAGCTTCTAAAGCTCAATAGCTAATCTGAGAAGAAAAGTTTTTTTTTTTCTTTAAATTATGTGTTGATTCTCACGTGTAATTCCAGTTACTAGGGATAGGCAGAAAAATCACAATTTTTAGATAAGCCCTTGTAACGTAGCAAGCAAGACACTCTTATAAAAAAATAGGTATCTATATAATATTTAAAATATTATTCAGGAGCCACTTGTCAAGGAGGAACAAACTTTATTTTTAGCACCCACACAGCATGCCACACCACTCGAGCTCTCCAGGAATTGCTGAAGAGCTCATCCTCCACGTCCAGCACTTCCCAACCTGAACTCTACCCGCCAACTCCACCCACGCGAACTTTCTAGGAATTCAGGGAGAGCTCCATTGGAACTCCAGGAACTCCGCCAACTCCACCCTGGCAAAATGCCAGGTGCCATGCCGACTGGGCTACATCTCTAAATATCCGGTGGCAGCTCTCAACATCTCCCCCTCTCTGTTTAATTAAACAATAAGCATGTGGCTTAGGGACCATGCCTGCCTTAGGTTGTCCAATACTACATATGGTCCTTACCCGTCTTTGGATGAGCTGACCTCAAGGTGTCAGCCTCCTGTCTTAGGTTGGTACCATTGCAATTGGATCTTACCTGTCATTGACTACCGGTCCAGCATACAGCCACACCTGTGGATAGGCCTTT